TTGGGGCAAGCGTTTTTGTTGTGTTGTGGTAGGTTGTGCAACATAGATGAGATGAAACAAAGCTAAGAGTGCTACACAATTTTGGTGGTTTCACACTTCAATGATTGTATCATAAAATGCTTTTTGGCATGTCATAAGAGTGAATGCTTAAAAGGGAAAGTTTAGGGATCTCAATATGACAGATTTTGGGGCACAAGAAATAACGTTTTTGATGCTGCACGAGCTTTTCAAAGCTTTGGTTCAAGTTTTGCTCATGGTATCAAGACATAGACATGTGCATGAGGCCAACTTTTCCACACTATAACTTCATGGTTCTTGGCTTAATTGACGAGTTTTTGAGCTCTTATGAAAGTAGCCATGGAGGTGAACATATTTGGTGTTTATCATTTCTTGAAATAAGGCTTGTAGCATGATGAGAATTGGTCATGAAAAGTAGTCCAACACACTGATCCTAGGATTGGCACGCATGACTTGTCATGACTTGGGCAAGTTTTGTCAAGTGTTGGCACCCATGTTCATCTCACCATATCTTGAGTTCTAAAAATCCAATGAAGGATTTCTTTATATGCTTGAAAAGCTAAAATGGAGGAGAACAACTTTGACATTTTACACTTTTGGATTTGAGGTTTGGAAATACCAAAAATAATGTGTTCAAGTTGAGCAAAAACATGATTTTGGAGTGCCTTGGCAACTAAGGCAAGTTGCCTAACTTGTGCCCAAAATCACCAAAGCTTGTGATGCCATAACTTTTTAATCCTTGATCCAATTGAGGACTTCTTTAAATTCTTAGAAATCTTAGATCAAGATGAATAACTTTCATGTTGGATGAATTTTTATTTGAGGTCAAGAAACCCATGAGGCCTTGGTTGGAAGTTCTTGTAAAAATGATGCCCTAGGTTTTTCCCTACTTTGACCTCCACTTGAAAACATCATAACTTGAGTTCTAATAATGAACATGAGGAGTTCTTGGTATCAAAAGAAATCTAAAGAGATGATCTACAACTTCCATGTTGATGGCCAATACAAATTACACTTGGAACCATCTTGAATTTGGCCTTGAAAGTCACTTCAAATGTTGACTTTTTAACTTAGAAATTTTCATCAAGAAACCCTAATTCTTCAACGGAACGTGTTTGAAAGTGATCTCATCAAAATACTCGATCATTTCAACAATGTATGCTCTATGTGGGATCAGTTTCTCATCTCTGGTCTCCCATTCACCTTTGACTTGATAAATCACCAAGGCTGAGTCACCACTCACTTCAAGAATTTTGATTCGAAGGTCAATTGCTGCTTCGAGGCCTAAGATGCAAGCTTCATATTCGGCAATATTGTTGGTACACTCAAAGCATAACTTGGTTGTGAACGGAGTGTAACCACCATCTGGATCCATTAAAATGGCGCCTATACCATGCCCATTGTAGTTGGAGGAACCATCAAACATCATCTTCCACTAGGAACCAGGCTCGGGACCCTCCTCTGGACCTGGCTCTTCATAATCCTTCTTTATCAACATGATATCTTCATCAGGAAAGTTAAACTTTAGCGGTTCATAATCTTCTACCGGATGGTCTGCAAGGTAATTTGTCAAGATGCTACCCTTGATAGACTTCTGAGTAACATATTGGATGTCATATTCTGATTATAACATATGTCAACGGGCGAGTCTTCATGTCTGAGCAGGTTTTTCAAAAATGTACTTTATTGGATCCATCTTTGAAATTAATAAAATAGTGTGACATATCATGTATTGCCTCAGACGTCTGGCAGCCCATGCCAAAGCACAACAAGCTTTCTCTAAAAGTGAATATTGACTTTCACAATCTGTGAATTTCTTGCTCAAGTAGTAGATGACGTGTTCTTTACGTCCAGACTCGTCTTGTTGACCCAACATGCAGCCCACTGATCCTTCAAGCACAGTTAAGTACATAAAAAGAGGTTTTCCAGGAACATGAGGAATTGAGATTATAGGTTCTTGAAGGTAACCCTTAATCTTATTAAAAGGTTGCTGACAATATGAATTCCAAACAACCCTTTGATCCTCATGCAACAACTTGAAAATTGGCTCACAGGTAGAAGTTATATTGGAAATAAATCTAGAGATATAATTCAATCTTCTAAGGAAACTTCTAACTTGGTTTTCAGTCTGCGGAGCTTGCATTTGTTGAATAGCTTGAACCTTGTTAGGATCTACTTCAATCCCTCGTTGACTAATAATGAAACCGAACAACTTTCCAGATCTCACTCTGAAAGTGCATTTGGTAGGATTCAGCCTCAACTAATATTTCCTAAGTCTCTCAAACAACTTCAAAAGATGATCCATATGGTCTTCTTCACTTTGAGATTCAGCGATCATGTCATCGACATACAATTCTATTTCTTTGTGCATCATGTCATGGAACAACGCGACCATAGCTCTTTGATAAGTGGCGCCGACATTCTTCCGACCAAAGGGCATGACCTTATAACAATAAGTCCCCCAAGGAGTGATAAAAGTAGTCTTTTCCATGTCGTCTGGTCCATCTTGATTTAATTGTAGCTAGAAAAACCATCCGTAAATGAGAATACTGCAAAACGAGTCGTGTTGTTTATTAAAGTGTCAATATGAGGCAAAGGGAAATCATCCTTCGGACTAGCCTTGTCCAAATCCCGATAATCCACACATATTTTGACTTGTCCATCCTTCTTTGGCACAGGTACAATATTGGCTACCCATTCTGGATATTTTGACACTACTAAGAAACCTGCATCAATCTGCTTTTTGACCTCATCCCGAATCTTGAGAGCCATGTCAGGCCTAGTCCTTCAGAGCTTTTGTTTGACAGGCGGACATTCTGGTCAAAGGGGTAATTCGTGAACCACTATGTCAGTATCAATACCGGGCATATCTTGGTATGATCAAGCAAATACATCAACATATTCTTCTAAAACCTTCACCAGTTGCTGCTTGATTTCCGCCTCAAGTGTTTCCCCAATCCTGACCTCCTTCTTGTCTTCTTCAGTGTTAAGATTAACAATACCCACTTGCTCTTGGTGAGGTTGAAGGTCTGTGTACTCATATTCTGCCATCTTTTCTAGTTCATCCGGAATCTCAAAGTCTTCATCCTTATCTTCGGCTTGATATATGGGTGAGTCGAAGTCAGGAGGGAAAGCAAAGCCATTGGATTCAACGGGTTTTGGGTTTTTTCGGCATGTTTGGAATGGCTTAATTTATTAAACACATAAAGATAGATGCAACAGGACAAGAAAATATATTTTTTTTTCTTAAAAAATTTCCATTTTCTTTAAAAGTAAAAGCAAAAAACAGTAAATGAAACAAAAATGAAGAGTTTAACAAAACATCTTCAATAATCATAATAACTTTGAAAGCATGGGGCCCTACAAAATGATCCTATAGCCTTGGGAACGACTATAGAAGTTTGAAAACAACAAAACAAAAGAGAACAACATTAAGTTACTTCAGCATAGGAACGATAACAGGAATCTCAACAGCTTGTCAGTTGTCCAAGGCGGCTTCGCAATGATACACCTAATAATCAACATCTTCATCTTCAAAATCCTCCTCGTTAGCGTTGATTTGGAAACCCCTACTGATAAAAACTTCTTGAATGGTCTTCGAGCGTCCTTTGGCTGAAGCTGATGTCTCATCATGAGTTGGTTTGTAACCCAACCCCTGGCGACCTAATCTTGCTTCCACTTTGATGACCTCTCCCCAACATGAAAAAGTACCCTCTTTTAGCGTAGACTTTATGCTTTGAGCAGACACAAATGATAGACCACTCTTAACTAGTTTTTGTTCTATCATCACAATGTTAGCTATCTCAAGCGCTTGAAAAGAAGTTTATAGCGCATCCTCATCTGTTTCAATGTACCTAAATGACGACAGGTTACCCACCATCAAGTCTTCTTCACCATGCACAATTACCAATTTATCATCCACAACAAATGGCATCCTCTGATGTAAGGTAGAAGTCACAGTACCGACTGCGTGAATCCATGGTCGTCCCAATGAGTAGCTATAAGCTGGATTGATGTCCATCACTTGAAACGTGATGTTAAACACATGGGGACCTATCATAACTGGAAATTCCACCTCTCCAACAACAGTCCTCCTTGAACCATCAAAAGTTTTAACAATCAACGATGTTGGTCTCATCTCTGCCCCTTTGTATGCTAGTTTGGTAAGTGTCCTTTTGGGCAACATATTCAGAGAAGAGCCGGTATCAACTAAGACTCGTGCCAAAGCGTCTTCCTGACGTCTAACAGGTACGTGCAACGCACGATTGTGATTACATCCTTTTCTTGGCAACTCCTCGTTGCTGAAACTTAATGTATTGAAAGCAGTAATGTTGGCGATCACATAATCAAATTGACCAATTGTAATATCTTTCGTCACATACTCCTGCATTATCACTTTCTGCAAAGCCTCCCTGTAAGCGGGAGAATTCATTAAGAGAGACAAAATTGAGATCTTTTAAGGAGTTTGATGAAGTGGAGCTTGTGGTTAATAAAAAATTCTTTAATGCTCACAACAATGTTATTTCCTCCATTGATGATGTTGTCTTGGTTTTTACTAGTTTTTGGAAGTAATCATATGTGAAACTTGACAATTATATTTGGTGTGTTAGTCTGTGGAATTTTATAAACTTGTAAAATATATTGGATTTGAGTATCCATCTGTTCTAACTTTTCTTATTTGCTTATAAAAATAAAAATAAAATTCTTGAAAGCAAATCTAACATGTATGGGGAAAATAAAACATAAAATAAACCACCATGTTAAATAGAAAGAAATGGTGCATTACGACACCAAAAGTTACAATTATTTCTAAACAAACATCAATCAGCTAGCAGGACTACAATGTCCATGCTTCTGAATTTCATTAACTACCACACCTTTGTTCTTATCAATTCCACAAACACAACTAAGCTGTTATTTCAATCATAGCCATAAAATCATGATGATCGGCTTCTGATTGGATGGCTATACTAGCCTCACCCCTAACGTCTTCTAGGAGCCGTTGCCCTTCTAGCATTGAAATAAGCAGCAGCAACAGGGACACCAAGGTCATTTTGATCAGCAAAATTTCGTGTGTTGAAGTGATCCCTTGAAAAAGGACAAGTAATTGAGTACTTGTTCCCCCTTTTTTGCTTGAAAAGGACAAACACATATCTATGGATTCCAATATTAGGCTTTGGTTTCTCATAGCTTGTCAACTCTTTTCCTGTACATACACCAAGTTGGAGAAAATTTAGGGTTCACTTTTACTTTCTTTCAACAAAAACATCATTAATTTGTTCAATGAATCAATGTTCAAAACCTACCAAATGTGGAATCTGTTGTCCCTGGAATGTCTGTCACCACCCTACAAAAGTTCATTATTAGTATTAACCAAAATTGGATATTAATTTCTTTCAATATAATGTACTTTCATTACTCACCTAATGTGCAAATTAATATTATTACACCATAATCAATCAACCTTGAGTGGTATCACTAACACCTTTAGATGCTAAAATCTACTTATAGGATATGGCTAAGAAATCACTTAAACCTAGCTCATATAAAGTACTATTATCCAATAACTTTTTTTCATATAAAAAATTGGAAAGGGAAAATGTTTTTTAATACACTATTTTACAACTGTTTTTGATAGAATTTAAATTATATATTTTGATATTAGAAAATTAAAATCTTACTAATAAACCAAGACCTAAAGTTTAACTACCCGACATTCCTTGAACCAGTAGTATAAGGCCTAGTTTGTTATAGTTTTATTTTTAAAAGTCTCAAATAAAAAGTTAGTTTAAATAATAACTTTTAAAATATTATTTTAAGTATTTTATCATTTTATTATAATTTTTTTTTATATCAAAGATTAAAAAAACCACTAAAATTTAGTTATTCCAAATAATTTTTTTATAACAATTATTTATGAGATATATTTTTTAAAAAATCGTGATTTTAACTGTTTTAATTTTTAATAATATTTATGTCAAAATTAATATTTCAATTTATAAAAAATAAATTTTAATAAAAAATTTAATATTTCAAAAAACATTTTTATAAAAAAGCATTTTTTAAAACTAAAATAAAATGCATCTAACCCAGCTTCCTAGGCTTTCCATATTAATAGATGGAAGCAAAAAAATAAGATTAATCAAATGATCAAACACTTCCATGTAGTAACTTTTATTGAGCTTTTTTAGTAAATAGGTTTATTTTTTATTTTTTATTTTTGACTCTAGTTTTATTTTATTTTTTAAAGGAATATAAGTATCGCTACCACTTTTAGTGGTTATTACCATTAAAAGTTGTTCTTTTATTGATAGATCAAGGTTACAGTCAATCACGTAATAACACACTGATATAACATTTTTGTTTTTTTATTTTATTTTTTGGAAGAAGATTTACTTTTTAGATATTTCCTAATCAAAGAATAAAATTATTTCCGTTCGACATATAAGTCAAGTGACATTAAGGTTTAAGAGTGTTTAATTTTTATTGCTCAAACAAATAAAAAATCTAATATTTAATAAAAAAAGAAATTATTTAAAGTGATAAAATAATAATGCAAAAAAAGTTTTATTAATATGAGTTATATAAAGTTTAAAAAAAAAAACAAAAAAGATAAAATTATTTTATAGATTTCAAAGAAATTTACATTATGTAAAATCATATATTTAAGAGTTTAAGTAATAATCAACCAGTATTAAATAAACCAATATTTTCTTCTGTTAAACTAAGATTTGCTTACATATTAAAATTTTCTTTGCTGAAATATTCATAACCAGAGATCGATTTAGAGGCAAAACATCCTATATGTCAAGGTATATAATCGATTTAGAGACAAAGTAACCTATTTCAAGATTATATGATCAAGATAACTATTAAATACCAGTGCAAATGTTCTTTCATGTAAGGATCACTTGGGCCAGGAACATCAGGGTCTATCATGATCTGCAGGAAAACAAAAAAAATAATTAACTTATTTTTCTAATAAAAAAGAGCTTTTTACACCATCTAATAATCACTTAAAACGTCTAAAGATAGATAGAAATTTACAACATAGTTCATACCAGTGTAAAGAGGGACCTCATGTCTCCTCCTTGAATCTGAATCCTTGGCTTAGTCTTAACAGTACAAGGAAAGGGTACTTCATATCCAGTGAAGATTTCTTTGTTGTTGTAAATTACAGACATTTTTATGCTAGGGGTGAAATAATCAATTACATCTCCTATCACTCTCCCAAGAATTAGAGGATCTGAACTCATACTTCACAAGAGAATGAACAAGTACAATAAAACTATAGTAAGGGCTTACAAATGAATAACAACTATGGCTAGCAACTTATTTATATTGAGAGACTAACATTACTTTCTTATTGTTAAAAACATGTTGCAATTTGAGTTACCGACATAAAAAAAATGAAATACATTAACAATTTGAGCTGTCTCATTTTTTGTTTATTTATTTTGTGGATATTTAGTTTTTTAATTGATATTTTATTTTATTTTCATTTAATCTTACTTTTTTTGTGTGTATATATGTTGCTCTCAATATTTTTTGACATATAGGTTTTAAACTCTTATTGTTGTTAACTAGTAGTATAAAATAATATGGAAAAAAAATTGTAAATTTTTTTAACGACAAAATAATATTTCAATAATGAGATGAAACCACCACCAAAATGAATAAGGTAAGGCATTAGATAATACAAAAAGTGTTACACTGACCACAAAAATAAAACAGAAAAAAAATTAGAATTAAAAAAATGTCAAATAATAAAAAATTCTAACAAATCACACGAAAATAAAACTCAAATATTTAAAAACCTTATCACATAGGGTTTAGGTTAAATCTCAAACTACCTGAATCACTAATATAGAATTTACCAAGAGAATATTAAAAATCACATACTAAAAACCAACATCAAAATTAATGCAAACACTCGATCCACTATTAGTTAACATAAAAGATATGGTTTTGAAGTCGGTAGTGTTAGAACACAGATTGGTTCTATATATATCTCAATGTTTTGATGATAACATTAATGAAATTTTGTATAAGATAATATATACTCTAATTTTGTTCAAGTGTTTTTGTTTCAGATATTAAATAAAATATTCATCTGAAGACAAATAATTCCTCTGAACATGATTTAAAGCAAAGCTCTGAACAATATAGCACTAAACTCTGAGCGTAGGAAGTGCAACTGCAGAAGACTCTGAAGCGCTTGCTGAAGAAGACTCCGAAGCATTACCTACAGAAGACTCTGAGCGCAAAGTATAAAGACTCTAAATATTCAGAAGACTCTGAGAACTTAATGCTGCAAGTACAGAGGCTCTGAATCAAGTCAACTCTGATACATTCACGCTAAGCACTTTGTTGCAAGACTCTAAAAGAGTGACTCTGATAAGAAGAACAAGGAACAACATCAGAGGATCTGATGAAAGATTAATTTTAATATATGTTTATTTGAAAAGAAAGTGTTAAAGAAAGAAACGTTGCTAAATCCAAGGTCTACCAACGGTACTATTTCTCATTCGTGCATGACACAGGATTTCAGGCAAAAAGGGAATGTCAAATCAAGACGAATATTATTTGTCCTTCTTGTCTACATCCTACAGTACTTTCTTCTATACACTATTGAGAAAGTGTAGTATATAAAGAAGTCTTCATCAACACTTCAACGACAACAATTACGACAACAATTTGCTACAACATTTTTTGAAAGAAAGAATTCAAAGAAAGCAATCAAAGAAAATACTCAAACAACTTTCATAAAACACTAAGTTTTATTTGTTCTTCATTTTGTGTAAATCACAGTTGTGATAATAGCTTTTTAGAAACTCCTTAAACACATTTGTATTTTACTCTTTGTAAAAGTTACTTGAGAGACCAAGTTGTGGTCAGTATTCTTGATAAGACTAAGACAGTTGTCTTAGTGGAAATCATTGTAATCAAGTTTTGGTTTAGTGGATTAAGTCCTCGTTTGAGAGAGGCGAAATCACCTTGGCCGGGTGGACTGGAGTAGTTTGAGTTCAAACGAACCAGGATAAAAATAACTTGTTATTTTCTATTGTTATATTTGTTTGAAAACCCCTTATTCAACCCCCCCCCCCCTTCTAAGTGTTTTCCTACCTTCAGTTGGTATCAGAGCTCCGGCTCTGAAGTGTTATCACTTAACAGTGACAGAGAAAAATCCATTTGGGAAAACTCTTGATCTATTATTCTTGATATTATGGATGAAGCTTCAACTTCAACTTCATACAACAAATATGATGATAAAGATAGAATCAGCACAAAGCCTCCAATGTTTGATGGAGAAAATTTTGATTATTGGAAGGATAGAATAGAAAGCTTCTTTATAGGCTATGATGTTGATCTATGGGATTTGGTCATTAATGGATACATTTACCCCACTGATGGTGAGGGCAAAAAGATTGACAGAAAGTCAATGACTGATCAACAGAAGAGAGATTTCAGAAATCATCACAAAGCCAGAACCATTATGTTAAATGCTATATCTCATACTGAGTATGAGAAAATCACAAATAGAGAAATAACATTTGACATGTTTGAGTCATTAAAGATGACACATGAAGGAAAATCTCAAGTGAAGGAGACAAAGGCTCTTGCGCTTATCCAGAAGTATGAGGCCTTCAAGATGGAGGATGAAGAATCTGTGGAAACCATGTTTTCAAGATTCCAGATTCTGACAGCTGGTCTAAAGGTCCTTGACAAAGGATACTCCACTTTTGATCATGTAAAGAAGATCATCAGAAGTCTGCCAAAGAAGTGGAGACCCATGGTCACAGCGCTGAAGCTATCAAAGGATCTCAACAAGATCACTCTCGAGGAACTCATCAGTTCCCTAAGGAGTCATGAGATAGAGCTGGAAGAAGACGAGCCTCAGAAGAAGGGTAAGTCTATTGTTTTAAAATCTAATAAAAAATCTGACACGAAAGCTTTTCAGGTACTTGAGGAAGCTCTGGAGAATCTTCCTCAGATGAAGATGAACTGTCTTTGCTTTCTAGAAGGATAAATCAACTCTGGAAGCATACGCAAAAGAAGTTCAGAAACTTCAAAAGGCTAGAGCAGCGTGGAGAATCTTCTAGGCACAGAAGATCTGGCAAGAAAGAAGTTATATGCTTTGAGTGCAAGGAGTCAGGACACTACAAAAGTGAATGTCCCAAACTTCAGAAGGAGAAACCCAGAAAGAAGTTTGAGAAAAAGAAGAAAGTCCTGATGGCCACATGGGATGACTCAGATGATTCTGAAGCCTCATCAGAGTCAGAGGACGAATGTGCAAATGTTGCATTGATGGCTAACATAGAAGACAATGAAGAAACATCTGAATCTGGATCAGAATCAGATTCAGAAGAGGTATTTTCTGAACTTACCAAAGCTGAGCTAATTGAAAGCTTATCTGAGATGGTTGAAAACTATAGTAAAATCAGAATCAAATACAAGAAGCTTAAGAGTTATCTTGCATCTGAAACTGATCAGATGAATTCAGAAATTGCTAAGCTTAAAGCAAATAACTTTAAAATAAAAACTGAATTCGAAAAGGCTCAACAAAAATCTGATTCGGATACTACGTCTTGCTCCAAAAACATTTTAGAAGAGTATGACTATAGTTTTCAGAAGTTCCTGTCCAGAGGCCTAGGTAGAAGCAAAATGGCTTCCATGATCTATGGCGTTAGCAGGAACAACAGAAAGGGAGTTGGACATGAATCACCCTCTGGGAAGGATTTAAATCCAAAACCTGTTGATAAGCTGATCATCAACTACACTCCTATGTACTCTCATTTTAAATATGGTCACCTTAATAACATAGAGCACACACGCACAGATCAGATTACTAAAAGCTTTATTAAACCAAAACCTCATCAGAACAGAAAAGTTTTTAAGGAAAAGAAGTTCAGGAAGAACTTCAGACCAACTAACCCCAGAGGACCCAAAAATATATGGGTATCTAAGGATAAAATAATCTTTGTTGCAGATGTCCTTAGCAGCAAAGTTAAGACACCAGTCATGGTACCTGGACTCTGGCTACTCACGACACATGACGGGAAGAAGATCTATGTTCCAAAGCCTGGAACTTAGATCTGGAGGAGACGTGAAATTTGGAGGAAACCAAAAGAGCAAAATCATTGGCTCTGGAACAATTGGTAATGGTAACCTCTCTTCTATCTCTAATGTTCTGCTTGTTGAAGGATTAACACATAATTTATTGTCCATAAGTCAATTAAGTGACAATGGTTATGATATAATCTTTAATAAAAAATGTTATAAAGCTGTTAGTCAAAAAGATGGTTCAATCCTGTTTAATGGGAAAAGGAAGAACGACATTTATAAAATAAATCTTTCAGAACTGAAAAATCAAAATGTAAAATGCCTTATGTCTGTTAATGATGAGCAATGGGTCTGGCATAGAAGATTGGGTCATGTTAGCATAAGACGTATATCTCATATTAACAAGCTCAATCTGGTCAGAGGACTTCCTAAGTTGAAGTTCAACTCAGATGCTCTTTGTGAAGCATGTCAGAAAGGAAAATTTTCAAAATCTTCTTTCAAATCTAAAAATGTTGTTTCTACCTCTAAATCATTAGAGCTGCTTCATATTGATATGTTTGGACCAATGAAAACTGCATCTATTAGAGGTAAGAAGTATGGATTAGTCATTGTTGATGACTACAACAGATGGACATGGGTAAATTTCCTGAAACACAAGGATGAGTCTCATTCTGTATTCATTGACTTCTGCAATCAAGTCCAAACTGAAAAGAATTTTAACATTATTAAAGTCAGAAGTGATCATGGTGGTGAATTTGAAAATAAATATTTTGAAATATTTTAAAGAAAATGGCATTGCACATGATTTCTCTTGTCCTAGAACTCCTCAACAGAATGGAGTTGTAGAACGAAAGAATAGAACATTGCAAGAAATGGCCAGAACCATGATCAATGAGACTAATATGGAAAAACATTTTTGGGCAGAGGCAATTAATACAACATGTTATGTTTAGAACAAAGTGTCTGTAAGACCTCTTCTGGATAAGACTCCTTATGAATTGTGGAGGAATAGAAAGCCTAACATTTCTTATTTCCATCCTTTTGGATGTGTTTGTTTTATTTTGAATACTAAGGAAAATCTGAACAAGTTTGACTCTAAAGCACAGAAGTGTTTTATGCTTGGATATTCTGAACGCTCAAAAGGCTACAGAGTATACAATACTGAAACACAGATTATGGAGGAATCAATTCA